CATTGTTGGTCAGTGAAGAGGTGCTCCCTTACATTGGTGGTCAGTGAAGAGGTGCTCCCTTACATTGGTGGTCAGTGAAGAGGTGCCCCTTACATTGGTGGTCAGTGAAGAGGTGTCCCCTTACATTGGTGGTCAGTGGTGTCCCCTTACATTGGTGGTCAGTGAAGAGGTGCCCCCTTACATTGTTGGTCAGTGAAGAGGTGTTCCCTTACATTGGTGGTCAGTGAAGAGGTGTCCCCTTACATTGGTGGTCAGTGAAGAGGTGTCCCCTTACATTGTGGTCAGTAAAGAGGTGCCCCCTTACATTGATGGTCAGTGAAGCGGTGTCCCCTTACATTGATGAAGCGGGTCAGTGAAGCGGTGTCCCCTTACATTTGGTGGTCAGTGAAGCGGTGTCCCCTTACATTGGTGGTCAGTGAAGAGGTGTCCCCTTACATTGGTGGTCAGTGAAGCGGTGTCCCCTTACATTGGTGGTCCGTGAAGCGGTGTCCCCTTACATTGGTGGTCCGTGGAAAAGTGTCCCTTGGTGCATTGCTCCTTTGTATTGATGGTCAGGGGACACTGCCCCCATTAGATGGGTGTTCAGTGGAAGGAATGACCTATTACAGTGGTGCTCCTTGAGAAGAATGTTCCTCTGGTTGGTCGGTGTGGTGCCTCTGGTGGTCGCTGGTCCCATGCCTCTGTCTGGGCTGCGTGATGATGGTGGAGGAGCTATGCAGGCACCACCCGGCAGGACGTCACTATACAAGAAACCCCCAGAAACCTGTGGAGGGACCCTGAGGCTCCACAAATACCTGGATGAGAAAGGCACCTTCATCGTGTTCATGTCATTTCAAAATTCATTTTAATCTTTTTAAATCTGCAGCTTACATTAAAATAGTTCCTGGTGATCCTGCCATGCAGGTCCTTGTTCAGGCACTTCCTGTTATCGGGTGACAACACTCTCTCCTTGCCTCCCAATTGTGCTCCTGTGTTGTCAGCCTGTCAAACCAGATTCAGATATAGACTTCAGGTGGTCATTAGACATGTGCACAGGGAAAACATTTGTTTTGTTATTTAAATAATTTTGTTTCGTAATATTAGTTCAATTCCTTTTCGGAATTCATTTTGTTTCGTTTACCCGTTTTCTAATTTGATTCGAATTTTCCAAAAGTATCAAACCGGCATTCAAATTTATTCCATTCGAAATTTGAATTTTGGAAGATGGTTATATTCTTTCTTTTGTATTCTATTCTATTGGGTTTTTTTTCTATTTTATTCTATTTGCTATTCTATTCTTTTAAATTTTGTTCCATTCCATTCTATTCTTTTATTTTCTATTCTATTCTGTTTTATTCTAATCTTTCTAATCAAAAATCGAATTTCGGAAGATGGCTGTATTCTTTCTATTTTGTTCTATTCAGATTTTGAAAATTCAAAATTTGAATTCCGGAAGACGAAAACATTTTTATATTTTAATCTATTCTATTCTTTTATTTTTTTTTTATTCTATTCCTTTATTTTCTATTCTATTTTATCCTATTCTTTTATTTTCTATTATTTTTTATTTTATTCTATTCTTTTCAAAATTTGAATTTAGGAAGGCGGCTATACTCTATTTTTTCTATTCTATTGTAGTCTTTTCTTCTATTCTATTCTTTGCTATTCTATACTTTTCAATTTAATTCCATTCTATTCTTTTTTTATATTCTATTCTTTTATTTTCTATTCAACATTTTCAAAAAAATCGAATTTCGGAAGATGGCTGTATTCTTTCTATTTTATTCTATTCAGATTTTGAAAATTCAAAATTTGAATTTCGGAAGACGAAAATATTTTTTCTATTTTAATCTATTCTATTCTTTTATTTTTTATTCTATTCCTTTATTTTCTATTCTATTTTATTATATTCCTTTATTTTCTATTTCTATTTTATTCTATTCTTTTCTATTTCATTCTATTCTTTTCAAAATTTGAATTTCGGAAGGCGGCTATATTCTATTTTTTCTATTCTATTCTATTCTATTCTTTTCTTCCATTTTATTCTTTGCTATTCTGTACTTTTCAATTTAATTCCATTCCGTTCTATTTTTTTTAATATTCTATTCTTTTATTTTCTATTCTATTCTTTTCAAAAATCGAATTTCGGAAGATGGCTATATTCTTTCTATTTCATTCTATTCAGATATTGAAATTCAAACCAGCTGTTCTTCACATGAATTCGGATCGATTTGATATTTTGATTTGAATACTTTGAATCTACTGGAAACCTTCGAATCTGGTTGAAAACGAATAAACGAGACGAAAACAAATTTTTTTTGTAACTTTACGAATCGATCCGAAACTAAACAAAACACATTTTTTAGTTCTGCACGTGTCTAATGCTGACCACACTTGACGCAGGGCGGTGTCACGGAAAGTACTGAAGCCACGGAAGGCACATGGAGGCCAGATAAGGAAGCCTCTATGTCGTACCATATCAGCAACTCAGAATGTACTGAAGCCAGAGGATCCGCATACCAGCCAGGCAGCCAGTATTTTCAGGAGGGAGGCTGAGAATTCCCCATCCCCCATTCATCTCTCCTGTAATACTCGGTATTGTCCAATCACAGCCCTGGATGCCCTCTGCTGGCTGCACACGGGATTCACCTCTCCATTGACATACGTGCTCTCAGCCTGGAAAGGAAGGGGGAGCTTCCATCGGGGGGAGCTATTGGTTCACCTTAAGTGACCCTGTCACCACAAAGCCACTTACCTTTCCTATAGCAGTGACAGATAGTGGAGGAGGAAGCAGTGCTGGATCAGTAATCTGTATATAAGGTGACAGTGTGAGTTGGTAACAGATCCAGCACTGCTTCCTCCTCCATATGAGACAAGATACACTGTCACCTTATATACAGATTACTGATCCAGCACTACTTCCTCCTCCACTATCTGACAAGATACACTGTCACCTTATATACAGATTACTGATCCAGCACTGCTTCCTCCTCCATTATCTGACAAGACACGCCCTGTTACCTAATATACAAATTACTCATCTAGCACTGCTTCCTCCTCCATTATCTGACAAGACACGCCCTGTTACCTAATATACAAATTACTCATCTAGCACTGCTTCCTCCTCCATTATCTGACAAGACACACACTGTAACCTTATATACAGATTACTGATCCAGCACTGCTTCCTCCTCCATTGTCTGACAAGATACACTGTCACCTTATATACAGATTACTGATCCGGCACTGCTTCCTCCTCCATTATCTGACAAGACACGCCCTGTTACCTAATATACAAATTACTCATCTAGCACTGCTTCCTCCTCCATTATCTGACAAGACACACACTGTCACCTTATATACAGATTACTGATCCAGCACTGCTTTCTCCTCCATTATCTGACAAGATACACTGTCACCTTATATACAGATTACTGATCCAGCACTGCTTCCTCCTCCACTATCTGACAAGACACGCACTGTCACCTTATATACAGATTACTGATCCAGCACTGCTTCCTCCTCCACTATCTGACAAGATACACTGTCACCTTATATACAGATTACTGATCCAGCACTGCTTCCTCCTCCATTATCTGACAAGACACGCCCTGTTACCTAATATACAAATTACTCATCTAGCACTGCTTCCTCCTCCACTATCTGACAAGACACGCACTGTCACCTTATATACAGATTACTGATCCAGCACTGCTTCCTCCTCCACTATCTGACAAGATACACACTGTCACCTTATATACAGATTACTGATCCGGCACTGCTTCCTCCTCCACTATCTGACAAGACACGCACTGTCACCTTATATACAGATTACTGATCCAGCACTGCTTCCTCCTCCATTGTCTGACAAGATACACTGTCACCTTATATACAGAATATTAGGAATAGGAGGGGGGGTGCTAGAAAGGGGAATTTGGAAGGAAAAGAATTACAACCTAAGATCGGTAAACATTAAAAAATGCGACATGGCACAAACATGCAAAAAAGCGCATGCTCAGATGCACCTCCTGGTGTAAACGAGCCCTCGCACTGGTGTACCCCGGGACTGTGCACAGTTCTAAAGGGTGCCTTGACAGAAAAAAAGGCTGAAAACCACCGGTGTATCTTACCCTCGGTTCACACCTAAGCGTTTTTTCTGCCGCGTCTTGCGTTTTGCAGAAATGCAGTACAGTCCATTTAACATGATTTCCTATGGGACAGGTTCACATCTCTGCGTTTTCACCCGGTGCGTTTTTTGGAAAGGGTCAGGGACTTTTTTTAATGGAAAACGTTGCGTTTTTGGTTCTGTAGACTGCAATGGGGATGCTGCAGAAAAGCATGCATTGCGTTATTGCTGCGATTTTATCATGTTTTTGATGCGTTTAAAATCTGCCTAGCAACCAGAAAAATGTTACATATTTACATAGTTAGTCTGATTAAAAAAAGACAAAAGTCCGTCCAGTTCAACCATAGGAAAAAAAAAAAGTTATAATCCTACACCCACAGTTGATCCACGGGAAGGCAAAAAAACCCAGCAAAGCACGATCCAATTTGCACCTGCTGGGGAAAAAAAAAAAAAACGCAAGTGCAAAAACGCAACGCAAAACATAGTGCAGAAACGCCTCCAACGCAACCTGCCGAGGTGCAAACCTAGACTTATGAAGGGTTTCAGTCCAGTGAACTTGTCAAACAAGTCCCGCCTCTGTAACATGGCATCAATCCTGTATACACCTTCCCTACCTGCAGCACTTGTTTATTACACCAGCTCCATCTAGTGGTCACAATGCAGTATTTTCCTGATTAACTGTATTTTTAGATTTAAAAAAAAAAAAACTTTTACACTGGAGGGAAAATAGCCTAATAACATTCCTTCTTGCCCCCATTTGCACAAAACGAATATACATGCGATTTATCAGGATAAATGGTTTCAGCTGAAACCTAATGATCAGCTCTAGCCAATCGCAGCACAGAGTCCTGTGCTTACAAACACAGGGAACTCCGTACGCAGATCAGCGATCCGGCTGTTTCTTCTCCCTGAAAAGCAGGGAGAAAAAGCAGCCAGACCTGTGACTAATAGCAGCACGCGTTACCAGGGGCGGACTGACAACTCATGGGCCCCCGGGCAATAGGGCATCATGGGGCCCCTGTGTCCTTGCCCAAACTCAAAAAAGCCCATGAAAAAGGTACCAGGGGCATCTCATGGGGCCCCCTACTGACCCCGGGCCCTCGGGCAGTGCCCAAGTTTCCAAATGGTCAGTCCGCCCCTGCGTGTTACACATTGTTAGGCACACAGTTAACCCCTTGAGTGCCCCTTGATGTTAACCCCTTCCCAGCCGGTGTCATTAGTACAGTGACAGTGTACAGTATTGTCACTCATTAGCAAGGGCGGACTGACAACTCATGGGGCCCCCGGGCAATATGGGATCATGGGGCCCCTGTGTCCTCGCCCACACTCAAGCCACACGCAAAAAAGCCTATGAAAGGTACCAGGGGCATCTCATGGGGCCCCCTACTGACCCCGGGCCCTCGGGCAGTGCCCAAGTTTCGGAATGGTCAGTCCACCCTGCTCATCAGTGTATTAGTGTTACTTTCGACGTAGGTTTCAGTTAATGTACCTCCCAGTGAGGGTCTGTTAACGCCAGATTGCCCACCACACTATCGCAGTCACACTATAAGTTGCTAGTCACCACCATGACCAGTATAGCATCATAGCTGCGTACATTCCAGTATATACCCCGTGGTTTGTAGACACCATAACTTTCACACTAAGCAAAATTATTGGGATTTTTTTTTTTATTTGTAACCAAAGACTTGTAGCAGAATACATTCTGGCCTAAATTTATGAAGAAGTTTGATTTTATTATATATGTTTTATAACAGAAAGTAGAAAATATTGTTTTGTTTTGGTTTTTTTAATCAAAATGTTCTGTCTATATTTGTATAATATAAAACCAGGCGGTGGTCAAATACCACCAAAAGAAAGCTCTATTTGTGCAAAAAAAAAAAAAAAAAGATATAAATTTCATTTGGGTGCAACGTTGCATGACCGTGCAATTACCAGTTAAAGTAGCGCAGTGCCGAATAGAAAAGAAAAATGCCCTGGTCATGAAGGGGGTAAAACCTCCCGGAGTTGGCACCTTGGTCATGTTTTCATGTATGTAATTTAGCCTGGGTTCACACTGATGTGGTGCGGAATTTGCAGCGTTTTCAGTGCGAATTCCGCACCGCATCAGAATCGCACCCCATTCATGCGAACCGCCGCGGGTGTGTATGTTAACAACACCCCAAAAGCAGTCCGCAAAACGTGGTGCGATGTACAGAATCGGATCACATAGGTGTGAATACCCGTGCGATCCGATTCTAGTGCGGACCCAAAAAAGGGTCCTGCACGTTTTTTGGTGCGGGGTGTGGTGCGATTAGAGCCATATAGAAAGTACGACTCCGACCGCACCGCACACAAATCACATGTGATTGGCAGAGGAATGCGGTGCGGTTCCTGCACAAATCACATGCGATATACTGCACCGCATATATGTGAACCCGGGCACTTCATGTCCGGACCAAGGGTGGACTGACAACTCATGGGGCCCCCGAGCAATAGGGGATCATGGGGCCCCTGTTTCCTTTCCCACATTCAAAAAAAGCCTATCAAAGGAACCAGGGGCATTTCATGGGGCCCCCTACTGACCCCGGGCTCTTGGGCAGTGCCCGAGTTCTCGAATGGTCAGTCCCCCCCTGGTCCAGACACTTTCCCCCCCTTCCAGTCCGGACACTTTCCCCCCTTCCAGTCCGGACACTTTCCCCCCCTTTCAGTCCAGACACTTTCCCCCCCTTCCAGTCCGGACACTTCCCCCCCTTCCAGTCCGGACACTTTCACCCCCTTCCAGTCCGGACACTTTCCCCCCTTCGATTCCGGACACTTTCACCCCCCCTTCCAGTCTGGACACTTTCACCCCCTTCCAGTCCGGACACTTTCCCCCCTTCCAGTCCTGGACACTTTCACCCCCTTCCAGTCCGGACACTTTCACCCCCCTTCCAGTCTGGACACTTTCCCCCCTTTCCTGTCCAGGCCAATGTTCAGCTTTCAGCGCCATCACACTTTGAATGGCAATTGCGCGGTCATGCAACACTGTTCCCATATGAATATTTTAGCATTTTTTCGAGACAGATAAAACTTTATTTTGGTGGTATTTATTCACCGCTGGGATTTTTATTTGTTTTGCTATATGAATGAAAATGTCCAAAAATTTTGGGAAAAAAAAAATTGTTTTTCTTATAAAAGTTTGCAAAGAAATAATCTTTCTTCATAAATCTTGGACAAAATTTATTCAGTTATCTTTTTACTGAAAAATTAAATAACCCAAATTAGTTTTATAACCAAAAATTATAATTTTTCTAAATTTTTTTTTACATTTTTATATTATTATTTATGTTTTGTGGGGGGTGATGAAGATTTTTTTTTTTTTTACACACTGATTGCTTTTACAACCCATAAAGGCTGTAAAAGCAATCATTTCTCCTTCTCTCTGGCTACATTCCTGCAGCCATTGAGAAATACTGTGAGAGCTGTGATTGGTCACAGCTTGTCACATGGTACAAGGATGTTGTGAATAGCCCTGTACCATGTGATCTCTGTGGTCATTCACAGATTTCACACGTAGTAAGCAATGATGTCAGAAGTGACATCTTGCTTACTACTCTGCATGTGATCACTGATTGGCCAATCGGTGATCACATGATCAGGACCTCGCAGAGAGGTCCCGTACGACAATCGGTGTTCCACTGTGTCCAGAGGATCGCGGTGCTGCATGCTCCCAGGGAGCGCGCACAGTCCAAAATGGCGGGCGCCGTTTAAGCAAGGCAACCCGCCCCTGGACTGCCACCATCCAGCCGTTTATATACAGCGGCCAGACTGTAAGTGGTTAAAAGCAATGTCATTTCTGAACGATAACACTGTTCAACAGGTAAAAAGTTTTGGGTATAAAATTAGCTAATCTTACATAATTTTGGGGTGCTGAAAACGAAAATGACCCTAAAAAATGTTGATTGGCTCTAGTTTCCATGATATATTCACCCATCTAATGACGTAAGCCATTCAAAATTATGATGCAACTTCAGCTGCATATTGTGCAATTGATACTGGTGACCAATAGAAAATGTCATGTATACTGAGATGATGCAATATTAGCCTTTAATTGCATCACTTCACTGCATAAAAGCTGCAGTATCTGTAGCTGATTGGAGTTCGTCTTTACATTTCGTTTTCTGCTTATATAGGCTACTCAGTGATGCCTCGAACTTGTGTGAATAAAGCAGATAAATTTCTGCTATATCTGCGGTGAAATAACTTTTATCTCACAAAAAAGGAGGATAACAGGAATGATTAAGAAAGCCTACAACTTGTATTTTGGCTGCAAGATAGGAGACCAGGACAAGAGCTGGGCACCACATATATGCTGCAATTCTTGTGGGACGGCACTGGAGCAATGGTTGAATGGAAAAAAGGCATCTATGCCTTTCGCTGTGCCAATGATTTGGAGAGAGCCAACAGATCATGTTAGTAATTGTTACTTTTGTATGGTGCCTCCAATTGTAAAAGGGCTAAATAAGAAGAAAAAGTTATCTGTGCACTATCCAAATATTCCATCGGCAATACGTCCAGTTCCTCATGGAGAGGGGCTACCAATTCCTAAAGCACCAGAATCCTTCGTGGTTGAGTCAAGTGAGGAAGAACCTGAAGCGTGTAGTCACGTGCAGTTGTAAGAGATAGCCCTTTCCTCGAATACAAGAGAAAAGCCAAGAGAAGCAAAACCGACACAAACTGAAGACAAAACTAGTGAGAATCCTAAGTATTAAAATGATTCAACTTAGCTTATGGCTATAATTTTTCTTGGTAATCCTATGCAATATATTCTGCCATTTAGGCTTTGTTATGTAGTCAATATCACTTGCTTTATATTGTGGAAAGACATCTATCTATATAATTATTGTGCATTATGTAGTCATTACGCCTATAGTAGAAAACTTTCCGTTTACAGAAAAACTACAGCCAATTGACAAATTTCATTGTTATATTTGAACTCAGAATGTGAAATTCATTAAGAAATGGATCCTTTTGTTTCCAAAACTGGCAAAAAATAAAAATTTGTTGAACAGTGTAATCGCAGAAACTGGCCGAAAAATTCATTTGATCGAGAAAAGTTTTTTCCTTCCTGCCCCTTTGAATTTTCCCCCCGTCACTGCGGTCGAAAACAAACATCGATTTGACCCCCAATAACGATTAGAAAATTAAACGAATATTCTCGAACTAAAATCTATATGTGTATGGCCAGCTTAAGGCTGGCCATACGCGTGTAGATTTTCGGATGAGAATATTCGTACACAAAAAGTCGTGTGAAATTGTTTGAACATTCGGTGAATGGACGAATGTCGTTCGAAAAATTGTCTTTTGCTTTTGACATTTGATTTTAAAAAGCAATGTAATTTCTGAACGTTAATCGCATACATTGGCCGAAAATTCGTTTGATCAAGAAAAGTTTTTCCTTCCTGCCCCTTGGATTTTTCCCATCAGTGCAGTCGAGAACAAACATCGATTTGACCCCCACTCACATAGTAAGAAAATCAAACATATTTTCTTGAAATGAAAATTCTTTAACGAAAATCTACACGTGTATGGCCAGCTTAAGTGCCCATTCATACTGGGGTGCGACTTGCCATGCGTTGTGAGTTTCTAATCGCATGGCAAGTCGCACCCTATTGTCCGCAAATAAGGCGGTCATATCGGCGCGATTCTGACTTGGTCGTAGGCGCACTTGTCTTGAAAGTAGTGCATGCAAGAGGGGGTTGTGCTAAGAGGGGGGATTGGGGGAGGGGTGTGCTAGGAGGAGGGATTTGGGGGGGTTGTGCTTGGAGGAGGGATTCGGGGGGATTTGTGTTAGGAGGGGGGATTTGGTGAGGAATTTGTGTTAGGAGAGGGGATTGGGGGGGTTTGTTAGCAAGGGGATTGATTGGGGGGGGGTTGTGCTAGGAGTTTTGTGCTTGTAGAAGGGATTTGGTGGGGATTTGTGTTAGGTAGGGGGGATTTGTGTTAGGAGAGGGGATTGGGGGGGGGGTGGGTGTGCTAGGAGCGAGGAATTTGGTGGGGGATTTGTGTTAGGGACGTGGGGGGGGGGGATTTGGGTAGGGGGTTTTGTGTTAGGAGGGGGGGATTTGGGGGGGTTGTGCTTGGAGGAGGGATTCGGTGGGGGATGGGGGTGTTAGGTAGGGGGGGTGTGTTAGGAGGGGGATTGGGGGGGGGTGTGCTAGGAGGAGGAATTTGGTTGGGGATTTGTGTTTGTGTTAGGAGGGGGGACTTGAGGAGGTTTTGTGCTAGGAGAGGGGATGGTGGGGGGGCTGTGCTAGGCAAAAAATCAAATTGCATGGCAAGTCACACCCTGTTGTCCGCAAATAAGGCGGTCATATCAGTGCGATTTTTCCGACTTGGTCAGAGACGCAAACCGATCTTGAAAGTAGTGCATGCATGAGGGGGTTGTGCTAGGAGGAGGAATTTGGGGGGGCTTTGTGCATGGAGGAGGGATCAGTGGGGGATTTGTGTTAGGAGGGGGGGATTTGGTGAGGAATTTGTGTTAGGAGAGGGGATTGGGGGGGTTGTTGTTAGGAGTTTGGGGGGTTTGTGCTTGGAGAAGGGATTTGGTGGGGATTTGTGTTAGGAGGGGGGATATGGTGAGGGGGTTAGGGGGGTGTGCTAGGAGGAGGAGTTTGGGTGGGATGTGCTTTGCAGCTTGAGGGATTTGGTGGAGGATTTTGTTGTTAGGAGGGGGGATAGTTTGGGGGGTTGTGCTTGATTTGGTGGGGGTGTTAGGGGGGATTGTGCTAGGAGGAGGAGTTTGGGGGATGTGCTAGGAGGAGTTTTGGAGGTGGGTTTGCTTGGAGGAGGGATTTGGTGGGGGATTTGTGTTAGGAGGGGGGATATGGTGAGGGGGTTAGGGGGGTGTGCTAGGAGGAGGAGTGGAGTTTTGGGGGATGTGCTAGGAGGAGTTTGGGGGGGTTGTGCTTGGAGAAGGGATTTGGTGGGGGATTTGTGTTAGGAGGGGGGATATGGTGAGGGGTGTTAGGGTGGGTGTGCTAGGAGGAGTTTGGGGGGATGTGCTAGGAGGAGGAGTTTGGGGGGGTTGTGCTTGGAGGGATTTTGTGGGGGATTTGTGTTAGGAGGGGGGGGGGGATTTGTGTTAGGAAGAGGGGAATTGGGGGGGGTGGTTGTGCTAGGCAAAAAATCAAACATGCTTGCTAGTTTTCAAATCACATGGCAAGTTGCACCCTGTTGTCCGTAATTAAGGCGGTCATATCGGCGCGGTTCTGACTTGGTCGGAGACGCACCGATTTTGAAAGTAACGCATGCACTACTTCAGGTGCGACTTGCATAGATATCTGTCTTACAAGTTGTACCTTGAGTCGAAATGAAAGGCGACTTTGAAATCGCACGACTTCACTGGAAGCCGCACGATTTCAAAGTCGGTGTAACGTGACACCGGGGACTATTTGTTATTTATAGAAGTTAATGGACATAAGTGAACTGTGATCGGTGCGAATCTCCGGGGACATTAGCGCCCAATCTGCGTTCCCTGGTTCCGGTATGTTGCCATCTGAAGTGTTTATTGGGAATAATGGAATGGGATTTAGGGCAGTTCACACTCCATGCGTTTCAGTTGCTTTTTTTCATGCAAAAACGCACAGAAAGTAGGTGATATGGTGAGTCAGTGTCATGTTCACATCAGTGCCTGCAGTTCCAGTGCGTTCTGGGTGCAGAAAAAAAAAAGTAGAACAGGCCACGGCATTTTTTCTGCACATGAAACGGTACTGGAGTGCAGTAAAAAGCACCAAAACACACATCAAAAGCATACCGGAACGCACATTTCCCTATTTAACCCCTTCCTGCCCAGGCCAATTTTCAACTTTTAAAGCGCTATCACACTTTGAATGACAATTGCGCGGTCATGCAACACTGTAACCCATATGAATTTTTTATCATTTTTTTTGAGACAGATATCAAGCTTTAT